TCCGTGCCATCGGTATTCCATGAGGGATAAGAGATGATCCTCTAATTCCTAAGTTTCTGGAGCAATTAATTCATCATTTTCATCATTGTTTGAGTTGTTTTCCTGTGATTGCAACTCATGAATACATTGGTAGACTCTTGATTCATTGGAATGACGTTCCGCTGCTAAAAGCTTCGAGTATTTATTGCATTTACGGCCTAAGAAAACTAGACCGTTGTTGAACCATATTATGTTATCCTGGATGAGGGTCTCCTGTTAACGCCAGAAATTCCAAACATCCTTAAGGTTAGTTTTGAATCTTTATATCTTTAGAAGGGATGTATTTAGCTTGTAGTAGCCTCTACCTTGGTCTATTTTTTTGGAGAACGACAGGAGGACTGCGCACATAGCATGGTCCAGTCCTGGTAGAGGGTTTCTGGGAAAAATTTCAGCTGTTTGTATAGCTCCTTCTAGACCTTCCGATAAGAGAATCAGATCAATCTGTGACTTAGAAGCTGTTTTAGACTGATTTTTTCTAAAACATGAAAAGGTGTGAAGTGTGGGGTTTAGTCTTCTAAACGAGTCAAAGAGCTTAAAAGATTGGGTGAGATTAGCCATAATTGCTTCATCAGCTGCTATGTAGTCCGGGTATGAATCTGGAGTGCATGTGCAGTACATCCAAACCCAAGTTCCCGGGGTACTCTTCTACGACCCCAGTGCTGCCAGATCTACACACTCGAACAGAATCCCCATAACATTGCCCCTGCCAACGAACCCCAATCTCGCCAGTTTTGAACCCAAAAATGGAAATCACCATCGCCCTTGGTTTCGCCTTCGGATCGATTGCGAGGTTCGGCCAGTTGTCAGCGCCGCTTGTAGCACGCTTCGGATTCCGCCGAGGCAGGCCGTAAACGAAGGGTGTGCATTCGACGCTCAGCCTCGGTTCGAGTCTGTCGGGTAGTCCTCGAGGCCCGACGCGCCCGGTAATGCCAGCAACCCTCACACGGCGGGCTGGGCCAATAGCGAGCTATGAAATTCCACAGAACCACTGTGAGTTGGTGATAGGGAAGGAGGAGATGGAAGGGAGGGAAGTTGGTGGTGATAACGACGAAACCCGGGGATATGTAGTATTGAGTATTGTCCGTATCGGGGTAGTCTGGGCATCTAGGATCGCTGGTTATAGCCCAGTGGAAATCCCTCGCGCATAGTCGGTCATGCTCCGCCAGACAGGGGAATTCCGGATATCATAGTCTAAGCTGTTCGCCTTTCCAATCCTCGCGATATTTCGGGTCCCTCAGGTTTTCGTGGTCGGATGTCCAGGAGGGAGATCTCGCAGCCATGTCCGCCCAGTAGGTCGGTTCCCCCGCATCCTTACAAGGGGTAAAAGCTGATTCACGTGGACGAGCCCGTACGTGGCGACTCGACTTTCTCGAGATCGCGATCGTGCGCGCGCGTACTCGTAAAGGAACAACCGATTGGTTCCGGTTACGTTCATAAGTGCAATTATCCTACCAATCACTACATGCCATACAGGTCACCAGAAGGATGATCAACTTATCACAGCACTTCGGTGTTGACGACGGGACACCAGACATCAGGACAAACATTTTTCATCAGTTGTGAGCGTATAGCTCCCGCAAGTGATCATTGGTTAGAGGTGAGACAGGCATCGCAAAGCAGAGCTAGAAATCTGAAAAGATCACTAATACAAGGGAATTTACATTCATTTCATGCATGCATACTGAAATCGCATGAAAATCCGAGACGATGTACAAGCGAAGTTCAAAAGAGGAGGGCCGTGATAACAAGATCAGCCATACCAGGATCCAAAATTGTACAGATGAACAGGGGAAGAAGGAGACAACAAAGAAAGAACCTTATCCCACACCCACACA